CACCACTGTTCGGCGCCAAGTAACCTTTCCTCTGATCACGGCTTGCTTGGTCTCGCAATGAATCCTGGGTAAACCAAGGATACCGAGGATACATCGACACCCGTCCTTCAAATCGGGCTAAAAGAAGGACGCATTTTAAGGCCTCATAACGAGGAGTCTTGGAATCCGACCAGACCTCGGCGCCGCACTATGACGTAATCGTACTTCGAATCTGGCCTTCTAAGGCTCGTCCTAGGTTTTCGAACAGAGCATGGGAGTGGTGCGGGAGTCATTCTGAATGGGAGCGGGATGGGAGTGGGAGTAATTTCACCAGGAATGGGACGGGACAGGATTTAGATTTCTACTCTGGCCCGGGATCGGAACGGGACACAATTTTTTTCTGTGGGAGTGGGACGGGACAGGAGTGAAAATCCATTCCCGTGTCAGTCTCTACAATGAATTGATAAGGAGTTTTAAAAAAATGTGTGTTTTCCTTTTTGTTATTTTCTTTCTGAAATTTGGGTTAGGTGTGTTTTTCAGTTTATCTTGTTATGTCAATAAATTGTTTTTTTCATGCATGTTTTCTATACCCTAAAAATTATACAAAATTTGTAAAGAAACACTTTTTTGAGCAGCAGAGGTCAGTATGTGGGTTTCTCCTGTTGAAAGCTGTATCTCCTCTTTCAATGTTTTTCTCATGTTTAGTCAAAAACGGCTTAGCTACAGTCTATAAACAGTTTAGCAATCCCTTATTAACTGTTTGGAAACACCTTATTAACAGATTAGGAACAACTTTGAACAAAGGTCACGCAAAAGCTAAATAGAAAATGGAAACCGTTGCAACATTGAACAAGTTAGAGAATATTTGTATTTTGTCTGTTCTCACCTTTTCATGTCATTCAACATTTCAGCTTAGAAAACGGCAAACAGTATGACTTCAGTATTGGAGTAACATTTATATCACCCAAGGAAAAGCACTACATATGAACCTACAATTGTCCCATTTAGCAGTTTTTACAAACCCAAGGTGAGTCCTTCCTGCATTTGTGACAGGTACACTTTGTGCAGTGCACACAACGCTCAGTGCTGTGGTTCCTGTTGCAGAGATTGCACACCTGGCCTGTTTATAATACCAATGAAAAAATCTCAAAGAATAGAGTTTAGCACATTTGTAGTGTGAACTAGATGACGTTATCTGTGTGTCCTACAAGTTTGGAGACACTACAATGATCTATAGTGTAGTCTTGTATAAATATTGTTGCTTTCTACAGCGTTCCAGCTCATGCAGCTATTTTCATTGTACAGAATTAGTTATCGTCTTATTGTGTCATGATCTGGCCTGTTTGCTCTCCCTTAATTGTTAATTTCTTTCACCTGCCGTTTTCCCTCCCTGCCTTTAATTATAATTTATTCCTCTCACCTGTTTCCTCTGGGTTATATTCTGTTCAGCCTGAGCATTCAGTCCAGATCCTTATTTGTTTTCTGTTAGTCTGTCTGTTCAGTTTTGCCTTGGTTCATGTCATGGATCCTGGCGGCCAGTGGAAAGAAGGTTTTGTGTTTGTCTCTTCTCCTGATCATCCACTGTTCCTCCCCCGCTGAGTCTTCTGGGTTTTTGGCTCTATATGTGGGGAGGTTCAGTTTTTATCCCAGTAAGCCTGGCTCCAAGGAGGAGACCAGCTTAAAGGTCCTGCATCAAGCTCTGGTTCCATGTCCTGTCTCGGCTACCCTTTTACACTGAGCCTGCTCATCTGCACCTGATCCTGTCTGCTCCTGTGCATGACCGTCTAGTCACGCTTCTGAACTCTGTCAGACTCTGAACCTGTCTGAGAGCTTGTTTTTGCCTGGAAGCCTGGATCCCGTCTGATCTGTCTGTTCCTGTCTGCCCTGTATCCCTGCCCTGGATGGTCTTCCTGCAACTCCTCCGGAGCTGCAGCACCGGGGACGTACCCCCCTCAAGGGGTATGGATTGAACTGCTAAACCAGGTAAGTGACTCACTTAGATTATCATCTTCAGTCAGATGATCATGGTCACTTACCTGTGTTTCTCCCACAGAGTGTCTGAGATTGGGCGGTGCCCCGCCCCCCCCTCCTGAAGTGTCCGCGAGCCACAGCTCCACTTTAGTTTTTGTTTTATTTAATAAACATTTTGAACTTTCCTACTGACTATCTCTCCTTGAATTCTGGGTCCAACATTCTGAAATCATAACAGATTGCGGCACTGGTGTCTACGCTGAATCATTGCGATGTTGGCAACAGTCATGACATAGACCTAGTTATATTTAATTTTTCCCCTCCTGCTCTCAGGTAAAACACTCTCCAACAGAGAGACTTGAGCTAAAGCCTAAACTGAAGGGGGTGGAATGGTTCTCCAACAACAGCGCTAATGGGGCATTTACATCAGAAAAGGGATTCATGAGATGTGAAGTACTGTTGGGGGGACTGGAGGCTGAATTCTTGTATCTCTGGGATTTCTAATGTTAATAAAATATTATTTTTCCCAATAATGTTTGTTTTGGCTCTTGGATTTGCAATATACATTGGCTTGAACAAATTCTAATTGCCATAAATCATTTTAAAACCTAAGTTGATGTCAGGATTTGTTGGGGGTTGTAGACCCAAAGGCAGAGGCAGGAAGGCAGAGGTGAATCTTTAAAGGCACACTATGCAACATTTTTCCGTTAATTAATGTGTTCCATAACGTTTTGGATGATTAAATNCAGCGCCCCCTATGGGCCGGCCGCCACTGCTAAAAAGGTAGAAACGGGTTCCAATAGTCCATATCTATAGCCCAGCTATTTCCTTCAGAGTGATGTACAGTTCTGAGGCTGTCTTCAAGTCTTGTGGCTGTTGTAGTCCGTGTTGTTCCACTGCCTGTTGTAGGTATTCCTCTATGTCTGGATCACCGCTTAAATCAATCACTTGCCTTGCTTCGGGAAACACATCAAGTTCCTTGTCTTCAACAGCAAATCCACAGTCCCTTGAACCAAATCTGCAAAATTAGATAATACAATGATATAAAGGAGAAGGTTTGAAATGATCATTGTTAGATTTGTTTGCTTGTTGATATACAGATATTTCTAAACAATGGTAGAGACAGATAGCTTCTAAATTCAACAATGGATTATACCAACATGTACAATTGTCCAAATATATCCCAGTTTAGGCTATACCACAACACCTTGCATTTTTTGTAATGTATATGATCATTACTACCTGTAAGGCAAGAGATACAGTTCATTCGGAATCCCTCCTGGACATGATGCATGTCTGCTTGGTCGGATCCGGTGCTTGTTCCATAGGTCCATACTTTCATCCAGGTCTTGCTGCAGAACATTACTGAAGCAAAATCTCAGTAAGCACTGGTGTTCGTGGCTGCCATTGAAGATTCCAGAGTCTCTTAGGTCTCCAAACAAGTCCATCCAAAACTGAGACCTGGGGATGCATTATAATAGATAAAACATTGTTATTTATAATGCGCTTTTACAAGTACTCAAAGAGGCTTACATACAAATAACACCGTTTAAATGTGGATACATCTTAACAAAAGCATCACAGAGAAATAATGTATATCATATGATTATTACAACAGTAGTGATTCAATAACTTTGGGAAAAATATGGCTTCCCATGTTCAGTATTAGGCTATCACTTAGTGTTTAAGTGGCCTGAGTTAAACAAGAACACTAATAATAATCAATGACAAATACGGAGATTTTAATAACACTATAACACTGATCAGTGTAATAGAGACAAAGGTCATCACTATACAGCTTCCACTGTACTTTTCATCCATCAAACAACACAGATGTACCAACCTCCCTCTTCTGAAAAAAGACCACCATGACTCGATGCGCTGATTCGATGTTGATGAGCCGTAACTGTGGCTAGACGAGCCTGCATAGTGGTCCATATGCGCGTGACGGAGGGTACATTGTATTGCTGCCATGGTCACATTTTCTGTTGCGAGGTCAGTTCTCAATCTCATTGGAACCACACTGATACTCTTG